TGTATGTAACCTTCATTTTTAGGGTTCAAAAATGCCATATCTAAATAACGAAAAACATTTTTTTTAAATATTTTTATTACAAATTAAATGTCCAGTACATGTTTTAAACATCTCTAATACGGAATTTTGCACCCATAAGAAAGGTGTTTCATACTCTTTAGGGCTAAATTGTTATATACATATAAAACCTTTACAATTAATTAAGATAGCAACTTTATGTAAAGATATTACGAAATTAAGAAAATTAACATATACAATATATCTTAAATTAATTACGATCTTTCCTTATTATATTATTTAAATATAAAATATGCAAATGTACACGAGATAGTCTGAAGTTCTATATAGCATAATATCTCTATTGTAACATAAAGAATAACACTTTAGTCCGGTATTTCCTAATATACAGAGTAAAATTTTGTTATACGGTTGTACACTACAGTATTTGATAAAAACATACACAAACCAGGATATTCACTACATTGAGTTGCATTTAGTAGGTCTCTGTGTTCAGAATGTTAGAAAATATATAACCAGAATCACTTCCTCATCTTTATTCATTATAATAGAATGTGAAATAACTAAATTTTACTTTCAATGCTTAAGGTATTTCATAATAAACTCATTAAACTCATTGTAAATTATTCAGACATTAACATCTTAATACATTTATAAGTATTCATGTAGGCTATACTTTAAGACATATAGATTATTTCACTTTACTTAAAAATTAGAGTTGTTCTGTAGCTTATTTAAAACTTAATGTTTTATTTTATTATAGGGAGAATACACATTTCAAATGTTTGAATTAAAACATTTTTTTACTCGACGTCACATTCGAAATAACTTCATATATTCAATTTTATTGTTACTTCATGCATCACACCTATTATTAGCAATATGTGTAAAAGAAAAGGAGGTAGATTCAGCAAAAATGAATTGTTATGAAGGTAAATTAAAGAAGAAATTATGATACAAAATTTTATTTATTTTCAATAAATTATTCACGAATTAGTAGTAAAATAGAACTAATACTTTTATATATTAACATTTATACTATAGATGAAGGGGTTATGATTTTTAGGAATGGTGAATATAATCCACACGAAATTAATTACTTTAAAATATTATATACATATGACGAGATGTTGATAATCGGGGGAAGGTAAATTTATTAAATGTTAAATTTTTAATTACATTTTTTTTTTCTTATTTAATTTATTTTCGTTTTAATTTTTATTTTCTTTATAAAAAGTTAGTTTTGTTTAGTTTTAAAATAAATTATAAATTTTATTACAATTGTTAAGGTAAATTAGCAGGAAAAAAAAAACAAAAACCTGTTGAAGAGAAGATCTCAGGAAAAATAAAAATGATTAAATTAATTAATTTAATTCAAGAATTAATACAATTATTAAATTTAATACAAAATGTTGGCATGACCGTCTACATTTAGTTTCAATCGCATAATATCTACAAAATTAATTAATTACTCAAGTTATAGCTGATAGTTAATTGCCTTATCATATTACTTTAATTAAGCGATAAAATCGTAATTTTATGGTTTCTCTATTAAGCAAAACATTAATTTTATTTGTGTTTTTTTTAAAAAATTATTTATTTAAATGCATTTATATACTTTAAAAATTAAACAATTATTAATTAAATAAATAATTATTCTGATAGAAATAAACTATATAACATTAACGTTAAACTGCTAGAGGAAGATGTGGTGAGTCGCTATTTATATATTTATTTATTTTTTTAAATAAATATGAATTATATAATAAATAGTATTTATATAAAATTAATTAAACGATATAAAATTTATATGGATTTAAGATTGAATGGAGATCGGAAGAAAAAAATCAATATGTATGCATACAGAATCATAATCCAGCAGTGAGTGTTACTATATATCATAATTTTTATTAATGCATTAATAACTAATATTAATTATAAGCTTTAAATATTTCTTATAGGACGAATGCCATAATTATTTGAGGGTATTTGTTGAAGTAACACTCGAAATCTTTTTGATATGCGGAACAAATGCTTATGATCCAACATGCAGAGAATACTTAATTAGTGTAAAAAATAATTTTTGAAATTAGTTAATAATTACATTATTTACAATACAATAATATTCTTTTATGTTTATATTTAGAATGGAGAGAAAAAAGTAACTGAAGAATTTTCTGCTAGAGGAATATGTCCATATAGTCCACATTTTAATGTTACTTCATTAGAAGCAAGTGAGTAAATAAACTACAAACATTCAAAATTATAAACACTAGTTAGAAATTTTAAAAATAAACTTTTATATGTAACATTATATTCATGTAAATATATATTTCAGATGGGTTATTTACAGCTACTTATGAGTGGGATTATGGTCCTTATCCAATAATATCTAAAAAAACACTTCAACCGAATATTCAAATAAGAACGCCACATAAACATTTAAGTCACTTAAGTGAAAGTAAGTTAGTTTAGAAATATACGATGTTACTTTTTTGGTTATAAATTTAATATACTGTATGTAACCTTCATTTTTAGGGTTCAAAAATGCCATATCTAAATAACGAAAAACATTTTTTTAAAATATTTTTATTACAAATTAAATGTCCAGTACATGTTTTAAACATCTCTAATACGGAATTTTGCACCCATAAGAAAGGTGTTTCATACTCTTTAGGGGTGCAGGCTTTCCAAGTTGAGACTCCCATTGTTGTAGGGTAATCACACTTATTCTACAGATAGAAAAAAATGATTTTTTCAACTTTTTTCTACACTAAGAAATTGTCATTATTTTTTCTGTTTAAATAGGTTGGAAAGAAAGAGTAGTGATTAGTACTTTTTATGTGTAAATTTTCTGCTTCCGTGGGGAGAATTTAACCCAGAGAGCCACTCCATTCTAACGCGATTGATTTAACTTAAATTATTTATTATTACACATATACAGATCCAGACTGAATAAATATCGATCACCTCTATGAGATTTTTTATTCAACACTTCATTGAGTATGTTATATCTTTTGAATGAAGTTTCTTTATAAAATGATCATGACTTTTAAACGATTCTACAAACACACCTGCTATCTTAAAGAGTTGAAACACGACGATGATAACGTTTCTGTAATAATTATACATTTCAATTAATATTTATTTTATTACATGAATTAAAAATCCAGCAACGAGTTGCTGGATTTTTAATTCATGCACAATTTAATTTAATTTCCAGCAACGAGTTGCCGGGAAAGTTAAGCAACTCGTTGCTTAACTTTCCCGGCAACATTTAAAACTGTGTGTGGCATCATCTGTTACGTTATTTTATTTAGAAAATGTTTTTATATTTTTAATTATTATAAAGNCCAATCATGCGTATGAAAATACTTGAATATTATAATTATAAATTTGATACGTCAAATTCTTGATGTTTTTTCCTCTTCCATAGTTGTCGCTATACTTCTAGGTGTTTCATACTCTTTAGGGGTGCAGGCTTTCCAAGTTGAGACTCCCATTGTTGTAGGGTAATCACACTTATTCTACAGATAGAAAAAAATGATTTTTTCAACTTTTTTCTACACTAAGAAATTGTCATTATTTTTTCTGTTTAAATAGGTTGGAAAGAAAGAGTAGTGATTAGTACTTTTTATGTGTAAATTTTCTGCTTCCGTGGGGAGAATTTAACCCAGAGAGCCACTCCATTCTAACGCGATTGATTTAACTTAAATTATTTATTATTACACATATACAGATCCAGACTGAAGAAATATCGATCACCTCTATGAGATTTTTTATTCAACACTTCATTGAGTATGTTATATCTTTTGAATGAAGTTTCTTTATAAAATGATCATGACTTTTAAACGATTCTACAAACACACCTGCTATCTTAAAGAGTTGAAACACGACGATGATAACGTTTCTGTAATAATTATACATTTCAATTAATATTTATTTTATGAAAGATATTAAATGTTTTTATGGCTATTTTATTAATCATTAACATTAGTAAACTGTTAAAGACACGTATATAGAAAGGGGAAGAGCATTAAAGCGAGAAAACGAAAATAAATAAAGCTGTCGAGAGGTTATTAAATGGAGTTTACTTTGGAAATGATCCAAGTTTGGCATCATTAACATGAAAATAATAAGGGTGAAACCAAGGGACGTGTCAATACAACACACTGGCCATTCGCAAAAGGGAGGATTTTCTATGCCAAAATGGGCCCTATTTAGGTGTTAGTCGCGTGAAGAAAATCCGGAAAACTCCCCGACTGACTACAAGTGTTGAGTGGTGTTATTTACTCGGTCACTGGTGTGATAAAATAATAGACACAATGGTAATTATCTGAACAACTTTTAACATACAAGAAGTCCCATAATTTAGGAGTTATGTCGATCTTTGTTTTACTATTTAACACGTGAGTTAGGAGGATTCACTTCAAGTTATTTTAATGAGGATCCGCAGTATGAAAATTCTGAAAACTCTTCAGTAACTTCATGTCACTGTCAACTCCATTAGCAAAGTAATTTAAATTTGTTCCTCCACACATACCCAGACTTTACCTGTAAAACATTAAAACAAAGATCAACCTAACCCTTATGGTTCCTGACTTATGGCACTTTCTGTTCCTGACTTTACGGGGGGTGTCCTATAAGTCAAGAACAGTAGTTACTTCATATAGAGCGTATATAGCAGTGTTAAGATATAGTTTTTCTCGATTGTTGCGTGTCAAAACAAAAGCCGAAGTGTGTTTGCGAGTGTTCGAAATTAAAAAGGAAAAAACACACTTCGTGACAGGAAATTTCAAGTAACTTATTCCTTTTTATGCACTTAATAATTTCTGAAATTTCTAGTCATCAATCAACGTCATAAGCTATCACTTTTTAATTATTTGCATGCAGTAAATAATGAATAAAGAATAAAAAACTATTCACACTTCTTATTATTAATTAATAAAAATTACGTACTACCTAAAGTTACACTAGTCAGTCGAGAAAGAATTAAATATTAATGGACACTGTAATCAACGAAGCGTACACTAGCTAATTGTTTTTATATTAAATACTTCTTTACACGAAAATTACGTGTGGATGACTTAAAAAAAAAAGACAAGATGCTTACCAAATATAAGCATCCATTATGAAGAAGATACACAATAGAAAATTACGTATCCAGAACAGGTGTTGTGAGTGACACTACAAGTTAGAATAGGCGACAGAGTGTAGAGGGACACGTCAGTCCACACATCTGAGTGAATCTAGTGTGCTGCACAGAGTACAGTGTCGATTGTACAGACCCACAGCACCGTCTGGCGGTATGAAATTCCGAAACACTACCTTTACGTCACATAGAAGAAACGTTGTGTTTCTTCTATGTGACGTAAAGGTAGTGTTTCGAGCGCGTGCGAAATTAGTATCGATTACAAATTTACATTTTTAAGTTTTTATCGTTTATCGTAAACATTTTTCTATTGTTACAAGCACACAGAAGAAGAGAGAAGAGCGGAAAGGACAATAGAAAAAGACACAAGCGACGAAAACAATTTGAGAAAATAGAAAANAGCAAAACATTAATTTTATTTGTGTTTTTTTTAAAAATTATTTATTTAAATGCATTTATATACTTTAAAAATTAAACAATTATTAATTAAATAAATAATTATTCTGATAGAAATAAACTATATAACATTAACGTTAAACTGCTAGAGGAAGATGTGGTGAGTCGCTATTTATATATTTATTTATTTTTTTAAATAAATATGAATTATATAATAAATAGTATTTATATAAAATTAATTAAACGATATAAAATTTATATGGATTTAAGATTGAATGGAGATCGGAAGAAAAAAATCAATATGTATGCATACAGAATCATAATCCAGCAGTGAGTGTTACTATATATCATAATTTTTATTAATGCATTAATAACTAATATTAATTATAAGCTTTAAATATTTCTTATAGGACGAATGCCATAATTATTTGAGGGTATTTGTTGAAGTAACACTCGAAATCTTTTTGATATGCGGAACAAATGCTTATGATCCAACATGCAGAGAATACTTAATTAGTGTAAAAAATAATTTTTGAAATTAGTTAATAATTACATTATTTACAATACAATAATATTCTTTTATGTTTATATTTAGAATGGAGAGAAAAAAGTAACTGAAGAATTTTCTGCTAGAGGAATATGTCCATATAGTCCACATTTTAATGTTACTTCATTAGAAGCAAGTGAGTAAATAAACTACAAACATTCAAAATTATAAACACTAGTTAGAAATTTTAAAAATAAACTTTTATATGTAACATTATATTCATGTAAATATATATTTCAGATGGGTTATTTACAGCTACTTATGAGTGGGATTATGGTCCTTATCCAATAATATCTAAAAAAACACTTCAACCGAATATTCAAATAAGAACGCCACATAAACATTTAAGTCACTTAAGTGAAAGTAAGTTAGTTTAGAAATATACGATGTTACTTTTTTGGTTATAAATTTAATATACTGTATGTAACCTTCATTTTTAGGGTTCAAAAATGCCATATCTAAATAACGAAAAACATTTTTTTTAAATATTTTTATTACAAATTAAATGTCCAGTACATGTTTTAAACATCTCTAATACGGAATTTTGCACCCATAAGAAAGGTGTTTCATACTCTTTAGGGGTGCAGGCTTTCCAAGTTGAGACTCCCATTGTTGTAGGGTAATCACACTTATTCTACAGATAGAAAAAAATGATTTTTTCAACTTTTTTCTACACTAAGAAATTGTCATTATTTTTTCTGTTTAAATAGGTTGGAAAGAAAGAGTAGTGATTAGTACTTTTTATGTGTAAATTTTCTGCTTCCGTGGGGAGAATTTAACCCAGAGAGCCACTCCATTCTAACGCGATTGATTTAACTTAAATTATTTATTATTACACATATACAGATCCAGACTGAAGAAATATCGATCACCTCTATGAGATTTTTTATTCAACACTTCATTGAGTATGTTATATCTTTTGAATGAAGTTTCTTTATAAAATGATCATGACTTTTAAACGATTCTACAAACACACCTGCTATCTTAAAGAGTTGAAACACGACGATGATAACGTTTCTGTAATAATTATACATTTCAATTAATATTTATTTTATTACATGAATTAAAAATCCAGCAACGAGTTGCTGGATTTTTAATTCATGCACAATTTAATTTAATTTCCAGCAACGAGTTGCCGGGAAAGTTAAGCAACTCGTTGCTTAACTTTCCCGGCAACATTTAAAACTGTGTGTGGCATCATCTGTTACGTTATTTTATTTAGAAAATGTTTTTATATTTTTAATTATTATAAAGTGACAAAAAATATTAATTTGAGGGTAGGATGGATTTTATAAAAAAATTTGTAAATGCTAATAAAATCGTCAATTAAGTCCGATCCTACTCGATATATATTACACATGAACCTTCTCGATCATTCCCCGTTGACCTTTAACTACTTAAATTTAATAGTATAAACCCTTCTAATACACAAATTTCTCTACAAACAAAATTTCAGAAATTTTTGACAAAAAGCATAAAAGTTATTAAGCTTCAAATAGGGTGGACAAAATCGTGCCCCTTTACACATATACTAACATCCATACACAGAAAAACCGCTGAATTATTTTGAATTTCTCGAAATTTCAAGGTCCACTATGCCCAAAAATATAAAAATAATGGAGGGTTATTTTTTGACCGATCGCCATACTTTTCCTCTGTTATTTATAATAGAGCCGGGAAAGTAAA